CGGTATTCGGTTTCGTAAAATGCTATACCAATATCGTACCTAATTAAATTCGGTATGGTTCGGGTTTTCTCCTTTCGGTTTCGGTTTATTCGGTTCGGTAACTTCGATTTATTCGGTTTGAATAATAACTAGTGCATAGAGTCATAGATGGTAATATTCTTAATTAAAATACTCAAAAATACAAAACTAAAAATATTTGTTGACAAAAGTTTTATCCAAAACCAGCAAATACCAACTTAGAGAGAGAAAACTTCTTGTTACTTGTTTAGAGTTAATTGATGAACTTTGAGAATAAAGAAAAATAAAATTTTAGATTTCTTATATTTATGTAATAATTAATAAAATATGTATTGTGTAATATAATATATATTTCGGTACGGTATCGGTATTTCGGTATTTCATTTTAAAATACCAAATACCATACCTAATATTAAATATTTTTAAACTTAAACCAAATACCATACCGAATACCAAAATATCGAATATCGAATACCAAAATTTTCGGTTTCGGTACGGTAATTCAGTATTTACCAAATTATGCACAACCCTAATAGTTTGTACGCAGACCTTACTCCTACTCTGGAGGCTGCTTCCGATAGACCCTCGCTTCCCTCCCTCCGAGAACTCCCCACCTTGCTCATGGGGTGACTCGAACTCACAACCTTTTGATGACTCGAACTCACAACCTCTTGATTGAAAGTGGAGGGTGCTTACTACCAGAGCAACTCACGCTAACCCGCACTAGTTGAAAATTAGCATAAGTAGTAATTCTCGGTTTTTGGGAAACGAAGAAGTGAAGTACTCTATTGGAGAATTACCGGCGGCGACATACAATAACACGGCGAGCTTCTAAAGTCCAGGTATTTTTATTTTTATTTTTTTCTATTATATAGAAAAGGAAAGATGGTGGACCACGGACAAAATTGTTATTTTGCTCAAAGGAAAATTGTCATTTTGCTCAAAGAAAAAAAGTGCCTGTAACAATGCTAACTCCACCTCTTACGACCTTTTTTCCGGCATTCCGACCTCCATATGGGTCTAGAAACATCGCTCTTCCGACTTTCATCTTTTCTATTCCAACAGATCGGATCAGTTCTCCTTCTTCAAACTTTCAATAATATTCTTAGCTCTTTTTATCTTCTTATTTATCTATTACATTTCAGGAATCATTATCTCAATCTCTGCTCCATCTCTTTCTTTCTTTGTTTCTTTTAGATCTTTTTAACTATTTCCAATTTCATGGATAAATTTCCTTGAATTTCGTGTTTTCCAACCAGACGATGCGGAATCACCATTTTAAGGGTTATTATCTGTCCAATTTCATTGTTGTTACCTTCTTCTCGCTTCTTAAGGTATTGACATTTATTATTCTGCTAACTTAAAAACAAAAGGGATATTTAGTTTTACTCCTAATGCATGATGTTCTTCCGTTTCTTTACTTTTTTTTTTCTTTTTGTATATGTTATGTTTTCATGTATCGTGAATAGCGAGTATGTTTCCAGTAATAACTGCTTCTTCACACACACCCTCATTCTCCATAGCCGGGGGAAAAGAAAAATTGGAACTCGTGATAACCTAATTTTGATAAAGCACTAAAATTGGTGTATGAGTTGAGATTGACATAAATTGGATGAATTACTATTGAAAAAATTTTGTGCATGTGAATTTTTATTGACAGATATTATTCATTATTTCATGTCTTAGGAAGGGTTAACAAGGCTCAAGATGATTTGGGAACTCTTCTTAGAAGTTGTGTTCGAGCAACATCTGTTTGTTTGAATTTAAATTCGTTTATCTAGCTAGGAATTTATGGAATAGGGAAGGTATGTTAAAGGACCTGTTATGGGATTGCTTTATATGATAACTCATTGTTGTTGGTGGGATTTGAGAGTAAAGGAATGGAGGAGTAGGTAATAGAGTACTTAGGATTGATATAGATTGTATGAAGTTGCAACAATATCCAACAACTTTGAGAAGCAGACAAGAGGGATGTAGATGTAAGGGCATGTATACCTTAGCCAAGGAAGTAGCTTAATTTATTTATTTTACTTTTTATTCCCTGTTATTTGGCATTTACTAATACAATGTGTATTCAACAATAAATTATAGTTGTTTGTGTGAGCACCTAATTTTTGATCGTGCTTGAATTTTCGCCCACTCATTTCACCAATACTACACTTTGTCCCCACTCCACTTTACCTTGTCCCCCATGCTTGTCCCCACTCACAACCCCCCACATCTTCCCTATTCCCAAAAGAAGAAAAAACGGATCCCTCCCCCTAAAGAAAAAATATAGCAGCCCTCTGCTTTCTTGGGAGAGAAGAGCTTCCTCCCTCATTTTGGAAACCAACAGCCACACATCCTCTCTTCTATTTTATTTTTCTCCTACCACCTAACCAGAAATCAGTCATTTTCTTTGATCCATTTTTAGCCATGTGAGATCACCCTTAGCCACACAAAAAAAAAAAAACTCCAGCTGAAAATCAGCAGCAAACCCAACAGCAAAAACATCTGCGAACAGCTCAAAAACGACCTCAAAACAAGCTCCAAAAAAATACAGCACTTCTCCTTCCCGAACCAACCAAAAATATCTCAAAGTTGTCCCCATTTTTCGAGTGGAGTTCGTCGCATGGTTATGATTCGAGTCGAGTTCTTCCGGCGAGTTTTCTCCGGTGAGGTTGCTGATCGAATTTTCATCAAGGCCTAGTTGATTTGTTGAGATACATAAGCTCAAAAATCAGAGTGTTGTCTTAGGAGGTCAATCTTCTATCTTTCTTTTACTACTTTAGTTGAGTGCTATGTTATGCTTGCTTCTGTTTAAGTCATTTGATGGTTTTATTTTGTTTAAAAATCTTGAACCTACATTGAGTGCTTAGTAAGGTCTATTTCTATTCATTCTATGTTATTTATATTTCTTTTAGTTTGACACGTGACTTTAAGGTGATATAATCTATGTAATAAATCTCATGCTCGTGATTTGAACCTTTGTTAAACTCAATTACTGAAAATGAATACATTAGATTGCCAAAGTGATGTCTTGTAATCCTCTGTTAATGTAGTGCCATCCGCTAGCTAGGAAAATTAGGCCATTTCATTCAAGTGTAAAAATGCAGCAAGTTTGGGTTGTTCAATTGCTGTGGGCCGTGGATTGATTTTCTGAAAAATTAGACTTAGGCCAATCAATTTAATCTCGATAAGGCCCAAGGTAGTAAAATGATGCTAGCCCATTTCCTGTTTAATAATAAAGCTAGCCCATCTTATCATAACCAATTTACTTCATTTTTCATAACTATTCCATAAACTCTTGGTCTTACAATAATTTCAAATTAGTTTAGGGAAGTAATACTCGTACACGTACGCATGACTTCTTTCAAGATAATTTTCATAAATTTAATTTAGCAATAAAAGCGGGCATAGGTAAAACATGAGAACCAATAAAACACAGGTTATCCAAAAATAATATAAGCCAAATGTAGTCAATAAAGCGACTGTGCTAGAATCACGGGACTCGGGGAATGCCTTACACCTTCTCTCCGGTCAACAGAATTCCTTACCCGGACTTTATTTTTGTAGACCAATAATAATAGAGTCGAACATTCATTTGAATAGAGATTCAAATAAAAGGTGACTTGGAACACCCAAAAATCAATTCCAAGTGGCGACTCTGTAAATAAAATGATCCTTATTCAAGTTTGTCACTTTAATTGGAAAAACTCTTTAACCCAATCCATATAACACAATATCTTTTTTGGGGTATAAAAGGGGTGTGACAGCTCTGGCGACTCTGCTGGGGAAACCCCAAGAATTCGAGCTTGTATATTGACTT